AAAAAAAAACAAAAGTGACAGGATAGCACTCTGGGAGGCCGAGGCTGGTGGATTGCTTGAGTGCAGGAGTTTGAGACCAGCCTGAGCAAGAGCAAAACCCCATCTCTAAAAAAATAGCTTGACATTTTGATGGGCTCCTGTAGGAGTCCCAGCTACTTGGGAGTCCCAGCTACTGAGAATCGTTTGTGCCCAAGAGTTTGAGGTTGCTGTGAGCTATGAGGCCATGGCCTCTACCAGGGCAACAAAGTGAGATTCTGTCTCAAGAAAAAAAAAAAAAGTGACAGGAGGCGGTCCCACTGCAGGTCCATCAGATGAAGACTGTCCAGATGTGACTCATGGGGCCTGTGCTCCTCACCTGAGGCCTTTCCTAGTTCTTCAGGTGCTTTGGCCAACCTGACCCCAACCTTTCCTGATGGCCAGGGTGGGACTAGCACTTGGTGTGTGGCCACCACAGCCCTGGGTGCCTCCCTGACACCATCATGGGAAGGCTGTGCAGCAGTGAGAAGAGTGGCCCACACCCCCGTGGTGGAGGGTGCAGGGCCGCGCCGGGTGGGCAGTGCCTCTCCAGGGAAACCTCAGCAAGTGAAGCAGGCTGTCGCCTCCTCCCTGCCCAGCCGTCTCAGAGATGGGCAGAACTAGCGGAACTTCCCAGGTTATTTCAAGAAAGCCAGTGGCCACTTCCCCTCCTTCCTCCCGGTTATTAGTTGTTTGTTTGAACTTGAGACTTCCTGAGCCTGGAAGGTGTTTTTGGCCTCCTCTGTGGGAGCAACTCTGTGACATTGGGAGCTGAGGAAGGAAACGCCCAGAACTTGCATGCAGCCGGCTCCCCACTTGCTGGGTCTGTCCCCAGCACACAGTGCTCCTGCACTCTGTGCCTGTGGCCAGCGGCTGGCAGCAAGCCGCGGGTGGGCTGCAGGAGGCCAGGCCAGGGGCAAGGTCAGCTCTCCCCTCTTGGGTTCTATCTTCTGACTTGGTAGAGCCCAGGGTCACCCAGGACTTGCACGCCTGTTTCTTGGGACAGTGAGGCCTGCCCAGCTTTCAGTGAGGCTACCCGAAGGCCGGGAAACGGCCTGGCTCCAGCACTGAGGGTCACATTCGGCACAAAAAACCAGTGCTGCCTCTGCCCTGTAGCAACCCTCTTGAAAAGCACCTTGATGGCAGAGAAGGCAGCATCACGGGGGACCCTGTGTCGGCTCTGGTCGCTGCCCCGGAGGCGCCGGGGGACCATGGGACACCTGAAGCCAGGTAAGGCAGATGAGGTGGTGTGAACATGGGGGGTGGCTCCCTTCAGCGGGTGGGCACCTCCCTGTGGTGTCTCTTTCATTGTCTACCCAACAAAAATTGTGCCACTTACCACACTTTAAAAAGTCAGAGATGACCTCTGGGCATCAGAACAGGAAGATCTGCAGATTGTGGTCTGGTCCTGGGAGCCTGGGAGAATGAACTACTGGCAGATACCGAGTGGGAGGCCATGGCTGGGGCAGTTTTAATGAGGGGCCCATCAGGCAGTGCCCGTGGGCAGGGGAGGAATCTTCTGTGCTGTGAGAGGCATTTTGGGTGGGTGGGGTGTAGCCACTGTCTGTCCTAGCCCTGCATGACTCCACCAGTGACTCAGGCTCCAGCGGTGGGAAATGTGTCCCTTTTAAAAGGTCTAGCACTTTCGTTCAGCTAAACAGCACAAAGTCTCAGAGTTATGCTTTTACAAATTAACTTCCTGGGAAACAAGTGTTCCAAGGGATGATCTGGGGTGAGGCTGGTAGATGCTTTCTGTTTCGTGCTGCTGGGCACTGCCTCCCTCCCCACCCCAGGGACCTACAAACAGAGTTTATGTGGACCTAGGGGAGGAGCTGCCCTGGCCTCAGGTGTGGGGCCCATTAGGGTGTCAGGGAAGATGCCTTAATGTTTACAGTATATAAAAAAGGGTGGGGGGGATACGATACCGGGGCCAGCCCCAGGCACTGGTCAGTCTTCCTGGGAGGAGGACAGAGAGGCTGCCAGTGCAGCAAACCTTCAGGCAGAGGGGACTTGGGAGGTGCCACCAGTGTGGCACCTGCAGTGCTACAGCAGGCAGGGAGCCCCTGGCCACCTTTCCTCTTTCCCTTCCCCTTGGGTGTGGACGGTCTGCAATACCGAGAACAGTGGCTACTGGTCAGCTGGGCCTAATCTGCGTGGTATACATTCCCAGGGCTGAGGTGTCAGAATCAGAACTTCTGATGAATTCACTGATACCAGCACAATGTGAGGGAGATGAGGCTGTGTGCAAAGCTCACACCCACCTGGCATATGCCAGAGCTGACCAGTGCCCTGTTGCTGACCCCACCCTCCCAGAAGGCTGCATCTTGACCCCTGAACACAGTGCAAGGAGGGCTCCAAGATGGGGACTCCGTGTGCCGTGGTGACTCTCAAAGCATCTCGTCAGTGTGAAATCGGGACCCCCGAAATTTCCCCTCAGTGTGCAATGGGGACATTTCCCTAGGATGCTCCCATTATACTCTCAGGAACAACTAAGGGCCAGTTGTCCCTGAGTGGCTGAGTCTGTGCTTCACACAGTGGTGACATCTACCAGTGTGTCTGCGGTCAGAGTGAAGGCTGCAGTTGCCATGGGATTAGAGCTGTCAGAAAGCAGGAGATGACCAGGGATGTTGTGCAGAGAGCAGGGGCAAGGAAGGAGGCCTGAGGGGGACACAGCAAGAGGGTACTGGCTATAGGACAGGGGTCCAGGGTAGTGGGGTGGGGCTGGTCCCAGGAGGCCAAGGAGGGAGTGGCCGGCTGGTGTCGGGTAGGCTGTGGAGAGTGTTTCCTATCGTTGATGGGGTGGAGGCAGCGCTGGGTACGTTCTGCTGGGCCACGGTGTGGCACCTGGCCTCAGCATTGACTGTGCACCGAGGCTGGGCAGGGAGGTGTCACTGCCCTGTGATTGCCCTCGCCATTTTCTGCAGAAGCCCTAAAGATCATCCGAGGTTGGTTTTATCTCGTGAGAAGTGGAAGTGCACACCCACCTTCCCCACCGTTTGGCTTTTCCTTATTCCCGGAGCAGCCACTTGGCCTCAGCTTCCTCTCTTGCCTGGCTCCTTCCCTGTGCATCTGTGTCTGTGGACAGACCCTGCCCGGGCACTGTAGCTAGTGGCCTTTGGCTGCCCATTGCAAGCAGCGTTTTCATGGTGGGAGATAATCAGACTTCCTAACACAAGTGAGGGAGGAGCCTTCCCTTGCTCAGAAGAGATGGTTCAGAGGAAAGTAATTTTCTGATGATCAGAAAAGGGTGTTATCAGTTTCTTAAGTGGAAGTCAGGGGTAAGCTCTGGGCTGCTTTGGGCCATCCTGCCCCAACAGGGGCACTCGGCTGGCACCCTGCCTCTGAAGCATCACAACACCTTCAGAGGCAGATGCCACCCATGATAGGGGCTGGATCCCACAGCGAGGGCTCCACCATGTTCTGTTCTGCTCTGGGGTATTTGTGATTGAGTTTCAAGTTTACTTAGAATCTAAAATTTTTCCTTATAAAAATGTGTTTGAAGTTGGCACAGTTTTTAAATAGAACTAAACTAATTTTTAAAAGCAGATAAATTCATTTGAGTCACCTGGGGTGAGCGATCACTACAGCACTTCCCTTTGAGCTTCCTGGTAGCTAATGTAAAAAGGGAAAATGTAGGGGCATAAGGTCATGTGCAAAGAGATTTTCTGCTGGACAGAATTCTGGGAGCAACTGTGTCTCAGCTGTTTTCATCAGGAGCGTTAGAATACTTGATGGATGAGTTACTGGAATTTTTTCTTTCTTTTGGAAAATCAATGCTCCTTAGATGGACATTTCTTATTAACCACCTAGAAACATTGAAAACATGACATTCTATTTCCGTGAGACTCTGCAGAGCAGCTCTTGGGTTTGCACCAGTGCTGAGGGGGGGGTTTGACCTGTGCCTTGGACTGAATCTCTCAGACGGTCACTGTCTGCACCTGTTTGGCCCCCATCACCAGTGCCAAGTGGTGGCCCACTTGCATGCTGGATACATAGGTCACTGAGCTGACATTCCATGGTGACCTGTGTCCTCTCAGACCAGGGGCCAATGTGTCTATACTGAGGCCAGAGGTGAGACGGTCACTGAGGAAAAGCCCCACATTTTCCTTGAAGGTGAACAAGCATTTTGAAAATACATTGAAACTTGGTCGTTGAATAATTGGGTCAGGCCCATGAGGGCTTTTACTTTGTAAAACCTATTTTGCATTTTTCCAAACTGACAAAAAGCAGAAAGGAAGCATTTGCCCTCATGTTGGTATTCTCTTTGGTTTTCAGTGCGATGTGTGAACAGGAGTGGCTGGTGTGTTTGTTCAGGCCATGCTGCTGCGAGGCCCAGGCCAGGGTGTGGCCCTTCATAGACGTGGTCATGGTGCTCTGCAGTCCTGAACTGTAGGCTCCAGCCAGCCTCCTGCCTTTGCCTCCCTTGCCTAGGGATGTTTTCTCATGATCCATAGTCAAATTTGTTTGTAAGAAGAGGTTCCATGGTCTACAGAAATCTGGTGATTATTGTTTTAGTTTCTGGCAGCTTAGTTAAAATTTTCGTTTCTGTCTTCCTCCTGCCGACTCCTGTTACCCCACGCCCACTCAGGATGGCTTTGCTCAGCCAAGGGAACACACAGGACCCCGTCACACCCACTACTGAGAGGTGTCTGTGAGGTCTTGGTGAGTTCTCTTTGGCATCTCTGCAGGGTCTTTGTGGAGTCTTCCCGCGGTCTCTGTGGCATCTTTGTGAGGTATGTAGGGTCCTGGTCTCTGTGAAATCTCTATAGGCTCTCTGTGAGTCCAGGTCTCTTTGTGGTCTCTGTCAGGCCTTTATGAAGTTGTGTCACTGTGGGCTCTCCCTAGGGTCTCCATTGGGTCAGGGTCTCTGAGAACTGTCAGGTTGGCAGCACTGAACTACACACAACTCCCCACCCATACCCCCAAGCCTGTCAACTTGAGGAAATGGCCACCTTTTGCCCAGGGAATGTGAGCTGCCAGCCACCAGGTTTGGAGTCCAGTGAATACCAAGAACCTTACTACCTTCTTCTGGTCCGGCTCAGGGATTCTGGACACAGAGTTAAGTGACTTTTTGGACTACCCTTCTACCTGCTGAAGCCACTTTCTTGGCTGTGCCGTGGGAGGGTTGAACAGGTGCACCACCTGGGCTCTGCACTTCCCAGGCCAGGTCAGGGATGCTCAGACTAGGATGTGGGTCCTTTGTCTGTGCTTTGCTCACCTTCCTTCATGCAAAGAAGAAAAGACCACCTCCATTCCCAGGTGCCCTGAATGGCTGATTGTGTCAGAGTGTTGAGACTTTATCAGGTGGAAGGATGCTAACAGAGTTCATCTTGAAAGAATGGGCTGCCTGCTCCAAGGATGTGCCCGCCTCCCCAGCAGAGTGGAAAACCAGGTGCTGTGACCTTCCTGTTGACCAGGCAAACACAAAGGGAAGTCACGCCCCCAGGGTGTCCCTTGTGCCTTGGACGAGACAGAGAACAGCTCAGGCTTGTTCCTTTTCCGTCCTCACATCCGCCTGGAGCCCTGTGTAAACACACAGGGCGGGGTGAGGCGTTGGCCAAAGTGTGACTGCCCTGCAGTGCTCTGTCCTGGCTAATGGGCAGAGGACAGGAAAAAGTCAGCTGGTCCTCAGGCAGATTCCAGGGGCAAAGTTCAGCAGAAAACTCCTGGGACCAGGAGAGGGGCATGGTGAGCAGGGCATGCCTCCCCTTGGCAGCTGGTTCTCAGTATGGGGGACTCAAAGCCTGTCTGCATTTCCGTGGCAGAGATGAAAAGCTACTACATTTACTCTGAGTGGTGTTCCTGGTTGCTCTCTGTGGCTGAGGGTGAGTCTTGGTCCCTCGGGTGCCTACAGAGGCGTGTTGGGAGCATGACGCCTTGTACTGGTGAGGGGAGATGTCTCGGGAGGTCACTCACAGTCCGTGTCTTCCTCAGAATTTACACTAGTTCAGGGAATGGGTACACGGAGCAGATGAGCTCTCCAGCCCCATCACCCCTGGGCTTTGATTCATGTCTTTGTTACCCAAGGCAGACAACTTCCCCTTGTCGGGCAGGCACAAACCTCACCACACTGTGCCATGTCAGATGGAGTGTCAAACAAGGATCAGCCAGCTCCAGGCCCGTCAGGCAGGCACAACCCTCACCACACTGTGCCATGTCAGATGGAGGGTCAAACAAGGATCATCCTCTCCAGGCAGAGCCAGGTGGGTCTAAGCCTCATCATGGAGGCC